TTCATGGGAACGTGTAACATCCCATACATTATTACTATGATATAAAGGCGATGTCCCTGAGCTTGTTAATAACCGTTTTTTTTCAACACTTATAAAATATTTAAGGTTTGTTATTTATAAGCATTACTAGTATGTTTCCTTCAAACATTGTATACACATAACCTAGAAACATTGTGTGTATGTTTGATTGGGATATTACCGAAACATTTAAAGATTATGTCGTCGTAATATGCTAGATGTACATACAGTAAACAATTCTTAAATCTTTTAATAAAATGTTATAACTGTGATGTATATTAAAAAACAAAAATATAACATTAATGGGATATTTTATTCAGGCTTTAGTAGTTAGAACTTTTTTATCTTTTTTAGTACATTAAATACACCCTTAATTTGTATTAATTATGTTTATTGAAACAATAGGTGTTATTAATATATAAATAATAACTAAGACTAAATATATAACCACCACACAAAAACAACATCACTTGAAACATATTATATAATTGAACAAGTTAAAGAACTATAAAAATAATGTAAATTAAAAACAAAATAAAATATATCAGCAATAAACGTCGAAAATAAATATAACTATATTAAACCATGTATGTATGTCAATATTATACAAATTATTAAAATAGTATCACAATATATTGAAATTATATGAAACATTATAGTAGACTATTAAATCTAATAAATAGTAAACATACTTATAAAATATAAAAATTATATACCTACTTAATTAGTAATAATAAATATATAATAAACTTTAAAAAAAATTTATACAAAAATGAATGCATTTTGAATAATTAATAATTTATACCAAAGCTTGTGTTAATATGTTAATTTAATAAGGTATTTCTGAAAGTGAATGATTTAAAGTTGATATAACTGCTTGTTCATTAGATATACGAATAAAAAAACATTTGTATTTTATATCAGAAATATGAATTGACAAATTATTAGATAAATTATTAGTATTTATAGTATATAAGCCAAATATGGAAGATACAATAGGCTCAGTAAAAATTGGAGATGGATTTAAAAATTTTTGAACAATTAATATAAAAGATGATTCATTTTTTGGTTTAACAATGTGGTTAACCATAACAATGTCAATATTTTTTAATATTATATATTTATCACGTTCATTGCATGTATTAATAATTACTTTTAGATCTTTTAAAATTATTTTTTCATATAATTTATCATCTAAACTAAAGTAAGGAGTAGATGTGTTNTCATCTAAACTAAAGAAAGGAGTAGATGTGTAAATAATCTCTTTAAAAGTGACAATAGGATCAAGAATTATACTACTGGATATTAAATGTTTTTGTTTTTCAATAACTCTATTAGTTACTTCTGAAATAAAAATGGTACTTTCTTAAATATAAATAAAAACTTTTTATAAATATTATTTTAAAACTGTAATTATAAATGTATATAAAAAAAAAACATAAACACATATAAAAAATTATATTGTCACTCGTTTAATTTGTCCCTTTGTACTCGTGTGTTAGCACGCCTAAGCCATTCGGCAATTTCTATTTCTACATCAGAGTTTGTCATGGGCTTTTTGGCATTATCTTTAATAACTTCTACAAGAAAGAAGTAAAACAAAATAAACATTCGCAAGACTATACACAGTGGAACAAATCTAACTGACAACTCTTATAACTTTTGACATAGTTAATGTTTTAGCTATATATATTTTTTTAAATAATTTATGCATTCATAAACTATGTTAAAATCATATCAAATAATTATTAAAAAACAAAATTATAGTTAATTGAAGTTATAAGATTTGTCAGTTAGATCTATTCCTCACTGTATAATAAATTGTAAAATTACTTGTAAATATTCTGATTAATTCAGAATCTCCTACTTTGGTAATTATATTTTTTCCACGACCAGTCCACGTACATTTACCAGCATATGAATTAGTAAAAAGTTTGGTCAAAGACCTTCTTATATGTTCTTTGCCATCCCTTCCTCCAATTGATCTAATAAAATATTCCTACAGCAAAAACTCAAATTTGATTTAATTTGATAAAACTATGAAATATTTATTATATTTTTGTGAAAATGTTGACTAGATTTAGTCATTAAATCTTCTTTACTCATATTTAACCAAAGTTCTAATTACCAATTTTGAAACAAAATCAATTTCATTACTAATGCAAGTTTCAATCAATAAAAATCCTTCAACATTATCAATGGGGAATTTTGATAAAAATGAATTGTCTAACAGAGCATTTTTATTTTCATTTTTATGTTTAGACAAAATTTTTTCAATGTTTTCTACTTTTAATAATATTCTATTTAACATCATGTTCATTGTTGGATCTGTAGAAGTATACACAAAAAAATTTAAGCTAAAATGAAAAATGTATTTTACAAACAAGGTGGTTTGCTATTTTTACAATCACAAATAATTCTAAGCATTATTTTTTAATAACCCCAATGTATTCATGCCTAAGCAAATTGTATTTTTATAAAAGCACCACTAGATAGGTAAGCCCTCTCCATAAACTGTATGTAAATCAATAGAAAAATTTAACTAATTTCTATGGATTTATTTAAAGAAAATAATTGCATACCTATTATATTCTATATATATATATATATATATAATATGTAATATTAAATAAATATTACCGTAGTTTTTTTGTTGGAGAACAGACTGATTTAAAGTGTTCATTGTATTTGATGACTGTTAATTAAAATATGAATATAAAAGTATAATCAAAATTCTAAAATTATTCTTTTTTTAGATTGACACATAAAACTTTAAATTTTTACCTTACAGTAATTAATTTTTTCCATTTAATATACCTGTAATGAGAAGTCCGTTGTAGAACAAATATGTTTGGGTTCTGGAGGCATTAACTCAGAGAGTTGTTGATAGTTGTCTTTTTCAGTTAATGAACTACAAGATGCTATAGGTTCAACTGATGTATCAGTGGCTGAAGATGTTGATTGGTTAAGTAAATAAGACATTCTATTATCAGTTTCTAAACTTGAAACTATTAGAGCATTACTATTTGATTTTACAAACAAAGGTTTGACAATATTCAATGTGGCAGATGATGACTGAGCCATTATATTATAACTGTTATCTAAACAAATTAATTAATTGAATTAAAAATTATATTATTATACAATACTAATAATTATATGGTTTATAGCAATATAATAAAATTATTCATAAAATATGTACTTAAAAAATACAATACACATTATATTTTTGGTTTGACAGTATTGTTAAAGTTATGTTAATTTAAAAAATTACCATTGTCATTGTCACTTTCATCAGTTACATTAAACAATACATTTTGTGACATAAGCTTTCCTTTTTGTTTATGTCTTAGAATCATATTTTCTTCATTGCCTGTTTCATTAGATGAATCTTCAATAATAACTTGTTGATGCCATGCTTTATTAAAATTATCTGTAAAATAGTTATATATTAGTTATATTTAAAAAAAAATAGTTGGTATATAGATGAGCTAAAAATAATCACTAGACATTATATAAATATGTATTAATTCTTACCAAAAGTTTTATTTCCACCATAAATTTTTACTCTATACATTTTCCAGGTTAACCCCGGCTCATCTGCTTTTTGTATAACATCACTGTTAACAGTGCCTGGAGGCCAGTAGCAATAATTTACTTGAGTTAATTCATTTTTTGTGACCCAATTCGTTGGTACAACACTATATTCATTGTGCTCAGGGAACAGCACAATAAGCCATTTAAGGGAAACCTATATAAATATTTTATAATTCGTTAATTTAATATCTTAAGTGTACATCAGACACCAATTGTTAATATTATTGACAAAATAAATTTAAAAAAACATTAAATGTTTCTTTAAATACGTTTATAAATTGTATTAAATAAATTTTTAATACTTCATTTATGTCACATCATAAAATTTAAAGTTGGTATTTGTAAGAGTTATTTAAAAAATACTGACCACTTTTTAAATTGATTAATAAGTTGCAATCCTTGAAATTTTACACCACTGAATGTACTTATATAACAATGTTATTAAGTGTGGATGCAGTATTATAACAAGTGTAAATAAGTAGATTGTATAACTTACCTTTTTTGTTTGTTCAGCCATTATTAAAAAATATAAGAAAAAATAATAATTATAATTAAACACACTTAATAATAATTAAAAACACTTAATAATAATTAAACAAGTATACTGTCTAACATAAACAATTGTAAGATTGTCCATAACATAACATCGTGTCTACTACAGAGTTGTTGGTCGTTTGTGGCCGATCCCTTAAAATAAAAGATAAAGACATACGTCACATGGGTTTTTGGATTTTCCAGGTATTGATAGGCAATTACAGTGTCGTATGACAAAATATTTTGTTTTTTAATATATATTTCTAAAATTAAATTTCCAAGCAATCGTTTATCATAATTATGATAATAGAATGCTATTAATACATAGTGTAATATTTCGGAGGAACGTAGTATGTATGTTACATTCGTACCAAATTTGTACTAAGTCAAAATGATATCACATGGATATTTCCTTTGTACTTAATTTGTATTAACTTAAAAAAACAACCATATAACAGCTTATTGATGTTTCAAAGTGATGTTACGTATGAAACACTAAAAAAATGTTCCCCCGACGTACTGAAACATTTATTGTACAGTGGGATGTGTAACTAAAGATAATAAAAAAAAAAAAATGTTTAAACTATTATTATTCTGCAAGTAATTGAGTGGGTTATGATAAAAAAATCACGCTGTATAGGACGGATCCACAATCGATTTTTAACATTAGAGGGGGCAAAAGACAAGAGTGACAAAATAATAATATGTTTCTCTCTTCCATCAAACAAAAATTAAACAGAACTTCTCCATTATGGATAAGCACAACTGTGTTAAAAATAAATAACAATTTTCTTAATAGGCAAAATTTTATATATTAAAAGAAAAAATTGGTTTGGCATACTACATTTAAGTAACCTTATTTTTGTTTACACATTCAAAATTTCATAAACTTTAAAATGCTACGGATAATTTACTATTTATTAGATATTTTTTTATCCAATTTTTTGTAAAAATCTACTTAACAAAATGGCTAACTAAATTTTTTTTTATATTTATCTTAATTTTTTATTTTTTAAAATAATTTGAAAAAATATAGAATGTTTTGTTATCTGTATAGTTCTTATAAGACAATATATATGTCACTATACATCATTATAACAGAAATTATTTAAAAAAATTAATATACAATATAAATTGGTTTAAAGGTTATTTAAATTATCATATCGTTTATAATAACTCATCCTCTAAATCTAGAGATGAATCCATAAACAGTCTATTCTTGACAGAATACTTATAAATGTTTAAATTACTTATTTTGATAGCCGCAATTGTGCTTTCATCCCACGGACACTTATTTTCATATGCATATTTTAAGCATTCTAAATTACCACTAGATGCAGCTGCTTTTGTTGTACGTTCATCCCACGGACATTTTTTTCATATAAATATGTTAAATTTTCTAGATTACCAATTAAGGCAGCATTATAAGTTGTGCTCCTATTGCAGGGGTATCCATTTTCAAGGACATATTTTAAAATTTCTAGATTACTTATCGCAGCCATATTAGTTGTGAGTTCATTGAATTCATATCCTTTTTTATGAACATATTTTAATATTTCTAGATTACCATTTTTAATGGCACTTTTCGCAATATCTAATTCATTCCATGTACAGCCATTTTCATAAGCATATATTAAACATTCTAAATGACCATTATCTGCAGCTGATAATGTTGTGATGTTATCCCATGGACAATCATTTTCACGTAAATATTTTAGGCTTTCTAAATATCCATTAGCAGCAGCAGTAGCTATTGTATTTTTATCCCATTTATATCCCTTATCAAAATCATTTTTTAAAAATTTCAAGTTTTCATTGTCTGCACATTTACTCGCTGTTTCTACTTCTATTTGGCATGATTGTTTGTCTTTTGAACTTTTCGGTTGAATTGCTAAATGAAAATGATTAATAAATTTTTGCTGCATTTAAATTCTATCTAGATAACTTAAAAAAATGTTTAATTAAAGGTAAGACATTAGGATTATTATTTTTATTCTTTAGATTATAAAAAAATTAAAATTGAGACTTAATGTAAAACTCAAGTGATTTTTTTATCATTAGTTTTTGTCATGCTACCATTTTTCGCCTTATTATAAATATAGTAATTGGATATATTGCTATTAAAAAAAAACTTTATAATATTATATATTTTGACTAATAAAAAAAGATTGAAGCCTTGTGAATAAAAATAAAAAAATACTCAAAATATGATATTATTATAATATAATTATTATTTATACTATTAGTGCATATTAAATACATATATTTAATAGTCATATAAACCCAACCAAACCCAACCCAACCCAACAATATGTTTTAATACTTTTTCTTCCGAATTATAATCAATTTTATAGCCGAAATTAAAGACTTCAAACTACTCTAACAATTTATTTATACATTCATGTAAACGAAGTTTAAAAACAAAATAAGTATTTTTGAATAAAAATTTAGGGAGCATTGGTACCCTAACTACTTATTAATCTCGATGCGAAGCTAAGAAGGTATTAATTTTATTATGATACGTTTTTTTTGTGTCTGTTACCACTTTTTCTCAGCTCTCACCGAACCGATTTCTTTCAACGACTTATCAAAAGAACATAAATCGTATATCTAGTCGAAGACATTAGACTAAAAATTGATAAAATTTCCCTCGTTCCCCGTAAATGGGGGAAATCTTCAAAAATATTACAAAATCGCTAATTTTCGAAATTTTTAAAATTTTTTTTTACTTAAAACTGCTATAACTTTTTCAAAAATGAACAAATCAATATAATTTTTTTTATAAATGCATAATATCTTTACCTACTATTTGATGTATTCTTTTTATAAATTTAACCATTTACCTGCCCACAGAAGAGGATTCAAAACTTTTTCAACATAACTTTTGAATGTGTTCCGGAAATACTGACACTTTTATATATATATTAAACTAAAGCTAATGTAATATACTTTAATATTAAAAAAAAATTTTTGGACTTCATTTTGTCTTCATGGTGAAAATAGCTACTGTATTCAAAAATATGCTATTTTTGTGTTAAAATTCTTGGTTTTGTATTTTATTTTATTATAAGGGTATTACACTGATTTTCATAAATATTATATCAATCTAATTGACAGTATAAAAAATTATACATATTTAAATTTTTTTGTTTTTTGAAGTCGAGAAAAAATTTTTGAGTTAGAAAAAATGTTTAACTCATTTGATTTTTATCTCATTTAGATTCAATAACTTCAATAAATATCAAGGATCCCATTACTGTAGTCTCCTCTCGTGAGAAGAAAATCATATTAATATTACTTTACTATGTGGTTTTTTTTTTGTAGTTATCATTTATTTTCTCAGCTCTAACTTGATCTACTTTTTTGACAAATTTTTTTTAAAATTAAACACTATCAACAGATTTGCGTCGAAGCGTTTTTTATGATAGTAATTTTAATCACTGTCAGATATCTGACAGTGATACTGGATCCAACTATGCTGCGACCCATTGTGCCGTCACCTCACTGTACTGAGTTTATTTTTAATTAGCAATGCAGCTTACACTAAATTTAATGTACCAAATGATAGGGTAATATCTTACATATTTATAAAAAAGAACCCAGCACAGTGGGGTCGCGGCATAGTGAGGACGTTGCATAGTTGGGTCCAGTATAGATTTAATCTGACAGTGATTAAAATCACTATCATAAGAAACGCTTCGATGCAAATCAGTAGATAGTGTTTAATTCTAAGAAATTGGTGGATAATTACAAAAGCTACATGATCTGCTAGTTCCTTATTAATCCCCTGATTAGATAAAGTATGTCGAATGAAAAAGGGATTATTAAAAAATATTATTTCTCATTAAAAAGTCGTATTGATTGAAACACTTTTCAATAAGTTATAGCATTATAAAGATAAAAATGTAACTAACCCAACCCAACATCAACTCCTATTTCCTTAATTATATCCAGGTTAGTAATTATTTTGATTATATATTATATAATTTTTATAATTAATTATTTTCAAATTATTATCGACTTTTAATATGTTAAAAGTAATCATTTTGAACCTACTTCTTTTTGTTCTTTAAAGTGAAAGTTTTAATAAAAAAAAAATGAATTTATTACCATAACTTTTAACTCAACTTGCAAGTTTGAAATAAATATTATTAAATAGAAAAAAATGAAATTGGTAGATTATTTCAAAAACAACAATAACACTTATTCCCTTAATTTTACCCCGATTTATAACTATAATATATGAATACATAATAATTACAGTAATTAAATTGAGTATGAAAGTGGTATTCAATAATATAATATTGTAATTTTTACGGAGATAATATAAAAATAAAAAGGAGTTGTATATTCATATACTTTTAATGCGTATACAAATTTAAAGGAATTTATGCAATACTTTTTAATAAAAAAATTTTGTTACTTATGAATAAATACACTAAACAAAAGGAACTTTCATCAGAAAAAAAATATACTTTTCTAAATAAACTTTTCGTGATGTTTTCAAATGTGCAATTAAACTTTTTCTATTACTTCTAAGTTTTAATATTATTACTTATTATTAAAAAATAAGTATTTACATATAAAAAAAAACAATTAAGAACAAAATTAATTGTATTAAATTAATACTGATTTTGATTTTTAATATGTTAAAGGTAATCATTTTGAACCTACTTTTTATTGTCTTTTAAAGTGAAAGTTTTAATGAAAAATACCTTCTCAGCTTCGCATCGAAGCTAAAAAATGAATTTGTNAATTGTTAAGATTAATATGCAATTAGGAAATTTTATAATTACTATTTACAGTACATTTTTCAGAAAATTTCGATTTTTTTGCATTTTTATCGTAATAGATCACTTAAATAAAAATCATAGAAATCATTTCTAATTAACTTTTGGCGTTTAAAAAGATTGTACAATGGAAATATTCAGAATTAAATTAACTTTAACGATTATATGACCAAAAAAACCCACAATAAAAAAGTTGTTAAAATGATTTACTCAATTGAGCGTATTATAAAATTTAATTATAATTGTAAAAATCTATCGTTAAATTCAGGTGAAACTAAAAATCATTTTTTTTTTATAATTTATGTAGAAAATGTTACAAACAAATTCGGAATATTATAGACTAGTATAGCACACACAAATAGAGTTAAAAAATTAATAAATTACAAAGTAAAATTATTTACTTTTGTATCTTTTGAATACTTTTATCATATCAAATCTAATTCGACAGTAAATACTTTAAGAATATTAGAAATTAATGATTTTAATTGTTTGTATGGAAAGAGCTGGTTTAGCTACTTTTTTTTTGAATAAGGAATATTTTTTTGATTTTTAAGAGTAATAACTTAAACTAATCATTAACTTAAATATCATAAACTTAAATGAATCATTTGACGTATCGTTGAAAAAAGTAGGTCTAGTGAGGGTTGGCAAAATAAATCGTAGCCACAAAAAGAACCACATAGTAAAATAATATTAACATGAATATAAATTTCTTCTCACGAGGGGAGACTATAGTGATAAGATCCTTTATATTTATTGAAATTATTGAATCTAAATGAGATAAATATCAAATGATTTGAAAATTCTATTGTAACTCAAAAAAAAAATGCAAAATTTTAGAAGCCACAAACGGATTTGAACCTCGTACCCTAGGCGTTAAAGATCAAGGTGTTACCCNATCCTCGTACCATAGGCGTGAAAGATCAAGATGTTACTCATTCGGCAACTGTTCATTGCTTATTGTTGCATGATAAAATTAGCTATTTAAGCAAACTCAAATTTAAAAATTACTTTTTCGACTTTAAAAAAGTAAAAAAATTTTAATAAGTTTAATTTCATATGTCTTATGAACTTATTCTATGTCAATGAAATTATATAATATTCATGAAAGTCAATGTATTCCCCTAATAAGATAATTTAAAATAAAATAAAATATAAAACCCAGAATTCTAATAAAAAATAGCATATTTTTGAATACAGTAGCCATTTGCGCATAGAAGATAGGTCGTCGGGACAAATTTTTTTTTTTCATTTTTTAGTACATAAAATGAGCTTTAATTTGATATATGTTTAAAGAACGCAGTATTTCCGGAACATTTTCAAAAATAAAGTTGAAAAAGTTAGTTTTTGTAAAAAAGTTGCTATTTTTAATCCCTCCCCATGAGCAGGTTAAGTGTTAGATTTTCAAAAAAATGATATCAAACGAAAGGAAATTACCTAAAAATTTAGTATAAAAAAAATTATGTTGATTTGTTGATTTTTCAAAAAGTTATAGAAGTTTTAAGAAAAAAAAGTGAAAAAATTTCAAAAATTATCGTTTTTTAAATTTGTAATTTTTTTGTATATTTCCCCCATTTGCGGGGAACGAGGGAAAATGTTTAAATTTTTAAGGGTAATGTCTTCAACTAGATACAATTTGTGATCTTTTGACGTATTGTTAAAAGAAATCGGTCCAGTGAGAGCTGAGAAAAAGTAGTGACAGACACAAAAAAATAAATAAATAAACACATCATGGTAAAATAATACCTTCTCAGCTTCGCATCGAAGCTAAAATTTGTTTTATACATTAATTTTCTACATGTAATGGTAGTTTTAAGAAAAAATAACAATTAGAAAAATATTTTAAAAATGATAATGATAATAAATAACAATATTCTCATTAAAAAATTTAAGTTTTATTTTTTAACTTTAATTGGAACAAATGATTTCATATTTAGCTATGCATTATTGATTTTTATGCAGCAATCAATTTTTTCCTTTGCAAAAATTAAAAATTTTCAATAGTTTCCAAAAAGCTAAATGTGTTATCCTTAATTGTTAACTTTGTATAAGAAAGGTAACTGCATTGCTAATATAAAACCACTTGAATGTGCATCACTTTAAAAAAAAAGTACATAAACTAAACTGAATAGTTAACTTAATAGACTTAAATAATGTAAAATAGAATTTACCTTCGTTAAATATCAAGCACGATATTATGCATAAAAGAGATATTTGCCATTTCTATAATAATAATAAAATAATATTTTAGATTTCAAATTGTTACACTCCAGGTAAAATGTAATACTCACCTCCATTTTTATTCGAAATATTAAATTCTGAATGACTAATGACAAATTCTTGCTTATATTGGAGTATATATATATATAGCACTGACATAATTCATTTAATTTTTAATATTTTTAAATTTTAAAAGAGCGTTTTAATGAAATATTAGAGTATACCTAAAAAAATTTATTATTAGTAGTCAGATTAATCATACACAAGTTGAAAATAATAGTACAATTTACATTGCCAGAAACAAATATTTTGATTTAACAATTGATTTAACAAAAAAAGACAAATTAAAAATACAATGTTATACTTATATTTTATACTGTTCAAATTTTTTAACAATATTTTATTTTATATTTTTTCTATAAATTTTATCTTAATTAATATAGTACTATATTAATTAAATTACAATTTAACTAATAGTTCAGGTGGAGTTCAAATTGGCATTTAACTTCAAAAAAAACTTACTCTTAAAATAATTAGTGGAATATATACAGAAACAGAAAATTATTCTCATTTTATTTGTGGTACCTTAAAACATAGAAGCAGTGGTATAGTGAAGGGTATACGTGGATATATGGAATATATCCACTTTCAGCTCGAGGGAACTAATTTTTTCAGGCCACAATTTACATGACCGAATAATAGATAATTTATTGCAATGATTAATTTTAATTAATTAAGTATAATTAATTGTAATAAGACATAAAGTTCTTATTCAATGTTAAGTAAAAAAATTTGTTTGTAACATCATAAAATAATAACTATAAAAAGTAGGTAATTAAAATATTTTCATCAACTCATTTGAAAAAGAATTGACACCATTAAGCTTTCATTAAATCTCTTAAAGCATGTATTTATCATAAAAACTTGAAATTTGGTAATTAAATTATTTAATTTATTAGGGAAAATCTCATTAATTCATTATTTTAATATTTATTATTTAATTAAAAAAAAAACAAATTTATCATCTTGCCGTAGGTAAGGATCAAGATTAACGTTTTAATGAAGTAATTCATTTTATACATTGATTTTCATGTATAAATAATGATAAAAAACAACTTTCTCCATTTCAATTTTTATTTATAATTTTCACCCTAGTCTTTTTTTAGTTTGAATAAAATTTAAAAACTTATAATTTCAAATATTTTTAATTCACATTATTTTTTCACGTTCAAGTTAAAATTTTACGTCGCAAAACATAATTATGTTTTATTTTCTCAAGAAAAACATAAATAAAATTTAAAACAAACACATGTGGTGTTTCTTTAAAATTAATTTCGAAATGCGTCATTTTTTCTTTAATATATTTTAAACACATCCAAAACAAATTCGAAAACATTACTATATTACTTTAAATTTAAACAAATTATAAAATAAACTTAGGAGTTTAGCAACAATGTTTATGATAAAAAATTGGTAAGAAAATATGCTTTTATAAAATGATTAAAAATATTTTATAAAAAGTAAATAGATTATTTCAATTCGAAACTTATTCAGAAAATGATATAAAAACTAAATTCGTACAAATAGAATATATAATTTTCATGTTGTGATTACTTATTAATAATAAAAAGGTATAAAACTAAACTTAACTTTAAGTATAAATGTACACAAATAGTAACTACTATTTTCGGCAATGCACCATTTTTATCAGGTTACTGATTAAAAAAATGAATTAAACTCACAAGAACAAAACTAATAGATAAATAAAACACGCATTTCATTTAATAAAATAAATGGAATTCAACATTTTTATTTTTTTTAATCGGACTTTTTATGATTCTAAATGTTCAACAAAACCTTAATCGTATTCAGTTGCTATATAACTTAATTGTATGTTAAGATTTTATGTTTGACGCACTAAGGTAAATGCTTATATAAAATATAAAGTTGGTGGTTTCATACTAAATTTTAGCATGAAACCAGCTTTGACATACAGGATCATGGCCAACGTCAAATTAATGGAATAGCGCGCCACCCCGATGTTTACATCAAGCAGTTTTAAATGCTGTGATGCTGTACAGACATCATCACGTTAGATCACTATTGTTAGTTAGACAGCTTGATATCAATAGCGGAAGATAGCGGGGCTATATTGCGTCATGTAAATGACGAAAGGTCATCATAAAAATCATACACACACCTTCTGAATTCCTAGTACTCTTTTTCCAATTCGCCGGTCTTGGATATCAAACCAACCCAACCATCATCACTCTTTTCCTGAATCCCTGGTACCGGTTTTCGAATTTCACTTGATTAATCGACACGGTGCGTATTGTGCGTTATTGCGCCACTTTCAAATTAGATAGATAGTTAAGTTGCCTATACAAAACACCTGAATTCGTCAGTATTTTTAACATACTAACCATCCGTAATTTGCTTTACGGGTCAAAACGTTTTACTATACGATTTGATTTAGCATTTTAAATCAATATAAATAAATTATGTAAATTCGTATCATTATGAATTTATATCAAAGTATGTTTATTTACGAGCAATTACCAAGAGAAAGGAATAAATGATTCAAAACATTGTTGTGATATCAGTCATAATAAATGTTAATAATTTTCAGTGAAATGAGATTTCACAATATAAATGTCACAAGTTAAGCTAAGTAATTTTCGTTATAACTCTCTTTCACATTTTGTACATTTTTTGTATCATTTCAATTTTAACAGTGTAATTCTAGGATTTTGAAAAAAACGTTTCGATTATATGCACAGGGCTTTATTTGTTTTTAATTTCATCAATGTGCAGTTTTAATCATAAATATAAAATTACAATAAAAAATGTAACTTAATTAACATAGTAATGTATAGTTCCAATTATGTAAACATATTATATTATAATTACAATTAATTATTTAACTGATACAAATATGATTTCTGGAAAATGCTAAAAATTAGAAAACCAACCTTAATAACTTAAAATGTGGAGAAAACAAAAACACATTGAAAGGAAAACGCAAAGAGTTGTTTTTTCTACTAATAAATATCCACATTATTTTCTAAATCCATTAACCTATTCTATACAAGAGAATAATAATTTAATAATTGCATAATAAATTTTTTATTTATACTTTCAGAATTTCTAGGCAGTCAATTACTTATTGTGCTCATTGTACAGATTGTATATTTCTATAAAATAAAAAAAAATACTTAAAGAATAATTTGTCAGTACGTTTTTGTGTTTTAAACTATAAAAAACCCATCACAGGGGGGTTGCGGCTCAGTAATAACGTGGCATATTTGTAACAAGTATAATGATATCTCACAGTTCGAATTTTTTTTTTTTTCGTGATAAAGTATATTACATTAGCTTTGATTTAAGATATATTTATAAAAGTGTCAGACTTTCCGGAACACTTTCAAAAATTTTTTGTGAAAGAGTTGTCATTTTTAATCACCCGTGTTGGCAGATTTATAAAAAAAATATACTAAATAAAAGGTTTGTACAACTATAAAAAATAATATTAATTTGGTCATTTTTGAAAAAATTATGGCAGTTATACGTAAAAAAATTCGAAAATTAGCGATTTTTAAATTTGTAATTTTTTGGAGATTTCTCCATTTATGGGAACGAGGAAAATTTTTTTAATTTTTGAGGGTTATGTTTTAAATAAGATACGTTCTGTGATCTTTTGACGTATCCTTGAAAGAAATCGGTCCAGTGAGAGCTGAGAAAAAGTGCAAACAGACAAAAAAAAAAGAAACACTTCATAGTAAAAATAATACCTTCTCAGTTTCGCATCGAAGTTAAAAAATGTTTGAATAATTAAATCAAGCCACAAAGATCACTACTATGTCTCCGACTAGCCACATCAAAACATATACAGCGTTCAGCAGTGTCCCCTGTGCCAGTGGCCGGATTACGGGGGCCCACGATTGCCCTAGCCGCTCATTTCGGACGAATAACATTTTGAACCGTTCATGTTCTTAACCCTTTTTGATAAAAAAATAATATTATTTAATACTAAAAATAAAAGTATGTATAATTAAATATCTTACCAATTGTGCTACCTGATCTATGTACTATTAAATAAATAAATAAATTTTANCCATGTACTATTAAAAAAATAAATAAATTTTAATATTTATGAATGCAACATTGTTATAGGTTTTGTCAATTTACACAAGAGTCTTTTTCACGCATTTTTTAAATTGACTCCTTTTTTCAAAAAGAGAATTTGTGTTCATTAAATTGTAGTGATTCAACATTTTTATTTATTTACGAAAATTATACTATAAAATAGAGTTATACCTTCTCAGCTTTGCATTGAAATTAAAAGTTGGTAGTTCTTTTTTTATCAATTTCGATCTTATAAGTTGATTTGGTATCTAATAAGGAGTTATATCAAGTAATGAAATCCATCAATTTGGTACATGTTTTTATTTTACTAATATTAGAATATTTATTTTTGTTTTAATGGTAAAAGAATAAAAAATTGATATTGCTTTCTTAAAACATTTACTAAAGTAGTCTGCTTTTGTGTTCCTTTATATACTTCATCTATTGAATTCTAATTTTATGCAAGTTACAATTGAAAACTTTTTATTACTTATAAAATTAACAATAACAGGAAACATTAACACACAAATTTGAATAAAGATTCTATATGCTAAAAAATTATATAAATACGATCAAGTGTGAAAATAAACTAGGTAGGCCACACAATTTTATAAAGCAATCAAATGACACGGAGCGGTCTATTATATCATAAACGATATAATTAATACATTGATGCAGCTCAATCAAATAATAAAATGTACAAAATTAGATATCCGCCATCGACGTAACAGTATAAGCGGTGATGGCCTCATAAAGCGTTCTAACGGAACGATGTTAAAGCGAGCGGTATGTCTAGTAAGGTGTAACTTGATGTCTTCAACGTAATGCGCGTGCGGGTCATTATATGCCATGCGGTGTTTTAACTGGACTTTGTACAGTGGCCAACCGTTTGCGATGTTGGTTAGTCAAACTACCGTGTACACGTAGTAGGGTCACGGCAAACAAAGGTGACGTGGTGGCGGAGCTTCGTACATCACAAAGCGTCGCGAGACCGTGCAAATAATAATATGATGGCCGGGTGGAAAACCGCGTAACGCGGTCGTAATGTGATTCATAAATAAATTTATTTAGACTGCTTATGGCAGTGAGAATCGCAAATAGTTACGTTGTTTGTTTGGTGGGTT